CCTCTTTTTTCTTTGTTCCTTATCTCTTCTTCTTCTGTATCGTAATCTGTTGATCTCTGGCGTTTGCCTGGGGATTCCCACGAAGGGGGTTTCTCTTGCCATTTGAGTCTCTCTTTGATTGGTTCCTTCCAAAAAACCGAAGAAGATGCTTGTTGTGTGTTATGACCTTCTAATGTTTTTTCCATAATTTGTGATGATCGAGTCATATCATTCTGATAATTAGTTCCTCTATCCCTCCTTCTTTGTTCTCTACTGTAACTTGTTTCGGGACGGGATTTCGGATAATTGTTTCCTATAATTACTGTATTTGTACTTCTTTTAGGTTCAGAAGAAAATCTTTTTTCTTTTTCATTTTCATATTCTCTCTGTCTATATTGGGGCATCTTCTTGTGTCTATCTTGGCCAAATTTATACGGAGACCTGATGTCGTTTTTGTTTGAGCCATGTTTTACTACATCACTATAACTTCTGTTAGAGTGGTGTTTATTAAAGGGGTGTCTGTATGTACGTATGGAGGCTTGGGGTGAATCTTTCTCAATATATGGATTTCTTTTATACGTTTCTCTATGAGATGTAGGTTCTAATTTACCCCTATGTTGACTGTTAAAAGTTTGATATTTGTTCGGTGATCTTTGGTGTTCCTGTGCTTGCCGCTGTTTACTTTTATAGTTATATTTATCTGAATTTGACCTTTTAGGGAATCTTATATTTCCGGTCTTATAGTCATTAGTGTCTCTAAGATATTTTCTTTTTTTGATTTCAACAGTGTCCTTCTCTGCCTTTTCTACTTTAATTTTAATTTCTCTTATTATTTGATTGAACGTTTCAGGATTAGTTGTCTCAATAAGTTGCAATTTCCATAGATTAATTTCCTCGTCTATCTGTATTAAATTTTCCTCTCGCCTGGACACAATGTAACCTATCATGCTAAAGGAAAATCCTTCGAGGAGTTTGTTCCATCCTGTCATAAAGCAGGGATTTTCTCTATCAAAGGTAGGGTCTTTCTCAAACCTCAGCCCTCTAGGTGTAATCTGTTCTTTAACGTACTTTTTGAGAGTGGCTATTTCCCATTTAATTTTCATTTCACGTATTAAAGTTTTTTCTAAATTGTTTTTGCATTTGTTAGTATCGATATAGTCCTTATCACTATAGTCAGGAATAGCCAAGGTCAAAATACTGGGAATATCAAAAACAGGACAAGGAAACACACTCTCAGGATTCAGGAACCAGGAACGAAAACCACGACAGGGCAATAGCCTAGGTTAAATATCCCTCTGGCCTGTGACTGCAGAACGTGTGTGTGTGTGTGTGTGTGTGTATGACCCTGGGGGGCAGAGCTATATCTAGCTGCGACCGCGTGTTCGGCACCATCTTGAACCCAGGCAGGCAGCTGGGAGAACCCGGCAGAGCGGCTCCTGACTCGCCGCTGAGCAGGTAAGCTCAGTTCCGGTGCGACCACACCTCGCGGTGAGCCGGGGGCCGTGACATTTCTGTAATTAGGCCCCATCATAATTGTCAGCACCAGGCCCACTGGGCTCTTAATCTGGCCCTGGGTGGAATATGTTGTAAAAGGTATATCTCTGGCTTCAGCAGTATGTCTATGTTCCCCAATTTCTGTATGAGGGATTGTGTGTCTTCCCATAGTTTAGTGATGGTTTGGCACATCCACCAGATATGCATAACATCACCTGTATCATGTCCGCATCTCCAACAAGCACCTGTCTGCTGCTGGTCAACGTGTTTCAACCTGGTGGGTACCATATGCCATCTGTAAAGCATTTTCCTAGACATTTCCATATGGGAGGTGCAAAGTGTGAATTGTTTGTTAGCCACAAAGCTCTTTCACCACTCCTCATCTGGTAATTGTTTTCCAATATCTGTTTCCTACTGTTTTATAAAATTCATACACCTTATCTCCCGTTTAGGGTTGTAGCTGTCATATATTGTAGAAATGATACCTGGCGGTTTTTTAACGTTTTTACATAATTGCACCAATGTTCTCATATTCCCTGTTGTATTGGCTGTGGGTGGTGACTCGTCATGTCTCTTTATCTGTCTATGCGCAAATTCAGCCGTGGTTGGGAGTCTATACTTCTTCTGCAGTGTGTGAAAGGGTATATTTGTGTTCTTGTTTACTAATTGGTGTATGTGGGTTAGGCCTAAGTTGGCCCACTTGCGTATGTTTAATTGTGGAATCAGTAGTTCAAAAGAGAGGAGTAGCATCAATGCGAGGATTTCTTTGTTGGGGTTAAAAAGTGTTGTGTATTTGTCCCATTCTTTCAGTGTCAAAGAGGTTATGGGGAGTATGTCATGAAATTGCTTTCTGTGTTGTTTGTTTATTCCAGATATTGTCGTGATTTCATAGCCCTCAGTGTGTGTGGCCTCAAGGTGCACCCACGAGGGTGGCGAGGCGTGTGAGTGGAACACTGTTATGAGTGGGCAAATAATTGCCACCTTATAATATAGATCTAGGTTAGGGAGACCCATTCCTCCTCTTCTTTGTGTCAAATAGAGTATATTTGCCGCAACTCTGGGTCTTTTGTTTGCCCATACAAAGGAGTTAAGTGCTTTCTGTGCCTCTCTAATATATGTTTTGGGTAACTGTATAGGCAGAGTTCGGAATAAATACTGAAATTTGGGGAGAATCATCATCTTCACAGCAGCCACTCTACCTGTCCAGGAAACATATTATTTTGGGAGTTTGATAATGTGAAGAAGTGTGGTTTAGATGACCTTAAACAATTTGTGTGTGGGTCGTAAATTTGATGCCTAAAAATGTAAGGTGGTCTTGCCTCCATTCAAAGACGTTAGTATGTTGGAGTGTTTTAGACGTCTCAGGTGGTGTATGTAAGCATATTGCTTGTGTTTTAGTCACATTTAATTTGTAATATCAGCAGGCGCTGTATTCCCGCAGTATGTTGTGGAAAGCTGGAATGGAGGTTAACGGGTTAGTTAGTGATAGCATGACATCGTCGGCGAATGCTGTTACTTTGTATTCTGTCCCCCCTTTTATAATGCCTGTGATTAGTTTTTCATTTCGTATGGCTTGCATCAAGGGTTCCAAGGCTAGGATATAAAGAATTGGTGATAATGGGCAGCCCTGCCTCGTAAAAGTATATTTTTCTACTATAAAACTGACTACTAAAATATTGTTTATGGTTGTTATTTTCATTATTACAATATTTAATGGAATTACTCACAAACACTGCTAGATTACATACTTTAGTACATGGTAGATGTACCTGATGTATTTCAGCTGGCAGTGACTGCATTTTGCTGTACAAAAATTGTAAACGGCTTAATAACTACTGTAGTATTTAGAAGAACACTCAATGCAGCATAACCACCACAGCTGGCTGCTCTGGTTATGGTGCAACGATTGCCCTGGTGACCACCCAGAGTAAGAAGTGTTTAAACAGAGATTGACAACTTACTGGTGTTCCCTGGGAACATTCTTCACATCCAGATTCTCCTGCAAGGGAAGGCAATGTCTATCCTGGGTTAAGTGTGGCCCGATACGGCACCAGTCTCATTGACTGACAGCACTCAGCTGGCACTTCCAGCAAATGAGAGCAGCTCTACATGGGCCTGCGTTGCTCACTGGATTCTCCCAATAAGAGAATTCAGAATTAGGATTGCAGCCATGAGTTCGCAAAGGGTCCCAGGTAAGTTGACAAACGATTTAAAAAATATATTTTGAAACAATCTGACTAGTTTGTCAAGACTCACCTGTGTTCCATCACTGCTCTGGCGGCACCTCAGAGTCAAGGTCAGTGGAATGCATGTGCAAATGCAAGTGGCGGGGCGCCACCTCTAAACACTGTTCGCAACACGTCTCCCAGGCAATGATAGACGCTTGGGAGACATGCAGGATTATTCCATGCTGCAGGGCAGCCCTGTGGGTGCGGTTGGAACTAATTAGGGATATGTTTACTCCCATGGAAACCCTGCTTAACTGACAGCATAATGCACCAATAGGGTGGCATGTCAGAATATGAGTGCCTTACATTTTTTACCATATTTAATTGCTCAGTTGTTCTGTGCTAATACCCTGTAAGTTACCTGTGTTAAAGCTGATCTCCTGGATTTAACTGACCTCTGGCCTGCCCTTCCATTTCTGATACTAGCTGCCTGGATTTTTGGCTATTGGACTGTCTGACTTTGCCTTGCCCTTGCCGCATTTGTTTGCCCTAGACTTTGTTTTTTTTATTTTGCTTACTTTCAAGTACTGCATTTTGGGTTTCATATACCTAATCTGAATACAAATACAAAAAAACAAGTCCTGCGCTCAAACTCCCACTACTCTTGGGCGGCAGCAATGACCATAGTACACATCAGCCCCGATACATACAGTAAAAACCAAAGAAAAGATTACCTGCGCTCTTCCCAAATCCCTATGCATATTTAAACAAATGAAGGTTATTTACTTTCTCCATTTGATAGAACTGCCTTAAACCACCTACAAGTTATTACACGCAGAACCATTTTATATATATATCACAATGACATTTAAAACACAAATATATCTCACTGTGAGTGTAAGATAAAGAATATGCAATATGTACAATGAGTTGATATATATCCGATACGGTTTCCTTCTATCTAATATTAAATGATTTAGTAAACTTTGTGCAATTCTATTTTTTCCCTTTACAGAGATTGTTGATTGTAATTCTTAACCATGAATATAAATGTAAAATACATAACTGAAGATATCACAGAACTGATGGGATGACACTTTGGTTTGAGCAGTTGTAGAAGAAAAAAGAAACCAAATAAGTGTGGTGCTTCTGAATGAAATTGGACATTCTGGTGAAATGAAAAGTAACAAGTGGCTGAATTCAAACAATATTCTCCCATTCATTTAAAAGAAGAATTACAGATATATTACAGTGTGTTCCAATGGGAAACACTTGCACGTGTGGAGTGGTTGTATGTATGCAGGATATTGTAGTATACATTTCGACTAACCAGCTTCATGTTAAAAAATGTATTGTCGTTTTTTGTTTTTTTTTGCTCCCCTAGAAAAAGTTCATACATGCATATTAAAACATGAATTATCATATCCTAAATGTACTCTAAGCAATTAAATCACTACAACTTGCTTTAGTGGTTATGTTGCCTAGTGTTTCATTGCAATATCCCAATGGTTTATTGTCAAACTATTTAGGACCATATTGACATTAATTAAGGCTCTTCCCAGTGCCTGGGGAGCACTCCCTACTTGGCCCAACTGATAATGTGGAATTAATACATCTGTATTATCAATATCAGTTACACTCTGGAGGGCAGTGATTGGTTAAAAATGCTGGAGAGAATTAAGCCATTCGGTTGGATGAAATTTACACTTATAATTTGTATATATTCCGCATTATCCGTGCAGCCGAGGAGAGAGTGGTCTCTACGCATCAGGAAGAGTCCCAGTTTGTGGCAAATGGTCCCTACACTATTCGACAATAAACTGTGGGATGGCACCATTACACACTAGGCGCTATATTTCTCAGAGTGCCCCATTAAGGAAGCATATATACTAATTTTGTCCAGGTTTATGGAATGCTTCAATAATAGTTGCAATGGGGTTATTCATCAAAGTGTTCTGAAAAGTGAGTGCTAAATTCTGTCATTTTTTTAAATGCAGCAACAAATGAAACAAAACTCATCAGATTTAATAAATTGCTCCAAAAAAAAAATCTCTGAAAATTAGATGTAAACATGTCAGTGACACTTTGATAAATGATTCATACAAATTGCATAGTGAAACATATGCAACACTAAGACAGTGACATGGAAATGAATGTGTTATAGAGATAGTCAAGTCTGAAGGTCCCTCTTTATCAATACATCTTTGGGCCTCTGATCTTTCTCCACTGTCCATGAGGCCATTTAGAAATGGGCTGCTATCTCTTCAGCCAGTCCTGGCAATCCTGAAGCATTCAATGAGAGAACTACTGCACATGCACAAACGTATTGTGCACAGTGTATCATTCAAGTGAATCTAAAAAAATAAAAGTATTTATGTGCAATAATAATGATGGATGAGAACCAATCTCCACTCTTCATTTGAAAGTGGCAAACAAAGATATGGAATAGTTGTGCAAAATAATTTTATACTATGAGCACCATGTATCTGGCATCATGTCAATGAATTCTTGCATTTTTTTGTGCCTTTAAGAAGTGTTGTGTTGCATTATATTATTATAAACTCATGTAAACGAACTATATCTTTGGTAAAATTGAAAAACAAAATACAAGAACAATCTCTAAAACCTAACATTCCTTAAAAACATTCCTTAAAAAAAGGATGCTGCAAATGGGAATTATATTCAAATAATGATTGTGTTTTATATTTATCAAGTTCACTATGAAATTTTTGCTGTTGAATTTTCCGATGTTGAAACCATACTACAAGGAATAGCTTCAAGAAATGCTCTTGTCCAATGTGCCACTTGCTATTCCATGCACAATAAAGGAGATCTGGTTTCTTACTGGTTAAAAAACCTCTTTGCATCAATAAAAACTAAGGGGACAAAAATAATAAATATATCCTTTGGTTTTTCTTTTAGTTATCCGGAACAAACTCTGTGTTGACAAATCCTCCATCTATTGTTGGCAAGTTGACATCATTTGTAACGTTCTGTAAATCAGTAGGTTTGTATCTTCCTTGTCGATGTTGCTCCAGGGCAGGTCCCCAGTCTGGGGTTGGGACACATATCTTCCGAAAGCGCTGTAAAGAAATTATCTTTTACTATTATATCCTATTTGATTTACAACGACAGATACAAAAATCTAAATGTTTAAAAATGAGGAGCTTAAAGCCGTCTATATAGCACAGAATATAGAGGGAAATGACTTCATCTGACTATAAAGGTATGTAAAGGACTTGAATCAAGCTGGAAATCATTCTTCATTTTTTAAAATTAATTCTCCACCCACATTCTACTTCCTGGCTTAGAATGTTTTTTTTTTTTTTGTGTTTGTTTGTTTTTTACTATTCCAAAAAGTCTCAAGTCTATCGTAGTGAGCAGACCCCATAGTGTCTAAATGTATGTATAGCATCATGGTCGTGGATTCTTACCTGCAAAAGTGTTCCTTCAGACTGGTACAGTTTTACACACGCAAGGATAGGAATCCAAATAATGCAGAATATTATCATTAACCAGCCTACAGCAATGCCCCATGTGGGGTATGGAATAGATCCATGCATTGGGCTTGAAAATGTTACCAGGGACCAGATCAAAATGGCCTACAAAGAGAACAATAGAATGTTGTCATGAGTAACGCAGAATGTTGACTAGACCAGACTTAGTTCAGCAAAATCCACAATTGTGGATTACATAGCATTAAATGGCTTTGGCAAATAAGCATCAACTAAATTTCCCTGGTTTGCCTCATGGTCAGCATGCAAAATAGAAGATATCACTAAGAAAAAAACAATGTTTGATGCTTGAGAGAAATTAGTTAATTGGCCAAGATGGTTCATTTCAGATTTATTTGCCACGGCAGTGGGAAAATTCTCTGTAATGCACAACTGAACATACTATTTATTTATACTAGCATGAGGAAACGGGATTTGTGTCTCCAAAAACACTGTGGCTCAGGTCGCCCCAACCTATGTCCTCAATTACATGAACTGAATCTCACAGAGCTTTGTTGACTTACTAACAATAGAAGAGGGGTTACGAAAAACCAGCAAATTCTCCACCACAGCCAGAATATCCAATTTTTTTTCCCAATCATCATTTCAATATCTTCAATAAAACGGTTTCCACCTTTGAAATACAAGAAAAATATTACAACACTATTACAGACTCTTGATGCTGTAGGGTATATTATGAAAAAATAATGCTATTTAAGGTTCTGGAGATTTTCAAACACCATTGGCATTTTTATAGACTACATGCCTTATTGTTATGAATACTTTTTGTGAATTGCAGCTAAATGGACACAGTCTAGGTCTTGACCTATAACTGATTCCCTGCAACTTCATATACAATTTGTATAATATATCAGAGCTGGACCTGCAACCAGACTTGGTACCATATTTTGTGCCTGACATTGAGTGTCAGGCTCATATTGCACGACTGATCCTTTAATGCATTACTTTAGTTTAATAGAAATTGACTTAAGTAATCATTTTTAGAATAATGTTCTGCCTTTATAAATCTAAAAAATCCTATTAAAATGCCTTTGTCAAATATGACCCCTCTATTAACTCTGAATTTTGTGCCATGTTGCAGACTACATTTATGGACCAAAACAGATCGCTAGGACCGTAAATACACAAATGTAAACATCATGGTGATAGATATAGCAACTGAGGTTTGCATTCTGGCAATTCATTTTCTTTATACATGAATTTTTTTCTGTCTGCATGTCTATCCATTATTTTATCAATTTAGGACAAGGGATAGGCAAATCATATTATTCATGACTGTCCTGGCACATTGATGTTTTTTGATACTAGTTATTTCTTCTATTGAGTGATCACATCTGCCCTTAGTGTCTACTGCTACTATATAAGGTGACATCTGGCCTTACTTTGTATATTGCTGCTACACTGCTAGATACATTGTTATTTAGTAACATCGGTTTTTTTACGTTACACTCACCATAAATCCAGCATATTCCTATAATTTCCAGAATTGCTGCAATAAGAATTCCCCATCCAGCACAAAAGTAGTCAATAAGATCCACCCAGAAAATCCCTGCCTGCAAAATCAGAATAATAATTATCAGCAGACATGAAAAAGTCCATTTAAATACTGATAGCACTTTACATATCTGCCTATCAGGCTTCCATAGTTTGTTGCTTGATTGTGTTTGCATGGAGTTAGGAGCAGCACTGTCATAGAGAGTGTGTTAGGAGCTTTGATTAGACTGTCCTCTAGTGGGCAATTTATTCAAGAATCCAATCATGTCAGAGAAAGGTTGATGAGTATACAAGCAATATTTCTACGTCAAGTACTCATCTAAGTTTAAAAATCATGGGTGCTTGATTTTGATTTCAGGAAGAATAATAAATAGCTCTAGTGTCTCATTATATTGTACCCGATGAATGTAAAGTATCATCTATACATTGGGCAGAGCTGAATGTTACCAATTTCACAAACATATGCATAAAATTGCAGTACAGGCACTCCTCACTTATCATTGAAAAACCAAGTGGAAAACACCTCCCAAATACGTGATAATATAAGAACAAGTACAAATGACCTGAAATATAGGTCGTGGTTCATAAACGAAATAAACAAAATTGAAATCAGGCTTCTCACCCTCCCAGGGGTAGCAATCTTATGGAAAGACAATCCTCCGTGGGATATATAAAAGAGTAAAAGAACAAATATGGTGAAGTATGTAATGAAAATTACAAAATGAAATTTATTGGTCTCACTTACAAGTGAAGAGAAATAACAGGCATATCTCCATATGACATGGAACTCCCAGGAACAAAATGGAAGGTAATCCAATGGAAAATCCAATGGCAGGCAAAATTAAAATGAAATAAAAACAAACTACATACAAAATATAAAATAATATAGCAGCATATGTAAAACTGAAAGTTCTTATCCAACGCGTTTCGTCCAAGAAAAGGGGACGCCGGATACCCGTTTTTTTCGAATTGACGATGATTACGGATGTTGCCCTATATATACCTGGAAGTATCAGCACATTTATATCCCTGAGGAAGTCCCCTTTTCTTGGACGAAACGCGTTGGATAAGAACTTTCAGTTTTACATATGCTGCTATATTATTTTATATTTTGTATGTAGTTTGTTTTTATTTCATTTTAATTTTGCCTGCCATTGGATTTTCCATTGGATTACCTTCCATATTGTTCCTGAGAGTTCCATGTCATATGGAGATATGCCTGTTATTTCTCTTCACTTGTAAGTGATACCAATAAATTTAATTTTGTAATTTTTATTACATACTTCACCATATTTGTTCTTTTACTCTTTTATATATCCCATGGAGGATTGTCTTTCCATAAGATTGCTACCCCTGGGAGGGTGAGAAGCCTGATTTCAATTTTGTTTATTTTGTTTATTTCGTTTATGAACCACGACCTATATTTCAGGTTATTTGTACTTGTTCTTATATTATCACGTATTTGGGAGGTGTTTTCCACTTGGTTTTTCAATTATATGTGTATTAGGTGTCAGTGAGGTACACCTGGGAGCTCTCCCCAATATTTGATTTTCACATCTTGTATAGTGTGTATACTTTACTGCTTTGTTTGTATTTTCTTAACTCCTCACTTATCTACTGAGTTCCGTTCCTACGACTAAGTCATAAAAGGAATTGGATCAGACCAGTGTGACAACCAAGTCTTGCATGCTCTAGAGAACAGGTCTATGTTGGAAGGAATTCCCCTAACAAATCGTGGTGAATCCCTGAAATGTACGTTCAGGGAAATTCTCTTGAACACAGACCACCTCAGCCTGCTACCAGCCTGGTACTAGGTTGGAACCAGGGACATTTGGTAAACAGGTAAGTCGTTAAGTGAGGACTACCTGTATATACGTTATTCAAGGGAAGGAGGGGTTAGGGGGAATAAAGGCGTCATATATCTGCCCGGTAGTAGCTAAGTCGAAAAAAGCTCAAGCTAAACTCCATAATTACTTAACAAATTAATATTGGAGACCTTTAGTAAGCATTATAGGAGGACTGCATGACAGGCAATATGCCACATGCAGAGAATCAGGCCCTAGCCCGAAATTAACCCCTTAACGCCGTTACGGCGTTCTATGCCGTCGCGGCTTTAAAGGGCTTTAAAGCCGTTGCGGCGGCATAGAACGCCGTAACGGCTTGCAGCTCCAATATATACATATTATATATATGTAACGTAATACGTAATGTATTTTAATACTAATATTAGTATATATATTAGTATTAAAATACACTTAGAATGACATTACATATATATAATATGTATATATATTATGTATATATAATAGATATATACACATATTATATATATATATATATACATATAATTACAATAATAAATAAATAAAATAATAAAATAAATAAATAAAATATTGAAACAAAATTTAATATAAATTATATATTCATATGTAATTTCATTATAACTGTATTTTTGTTATTAATATATATATATTGGTAACAAAATACACTTAGAATGACATTCTATATATATCTATCTATATATAAAATACAAATAACCGCTAAAATATATATGTAGATAAATACATATAATTACATAAAAGATTACATTAGTATACATGTAGAATTTAAATACCTATAAATGCATATATTAAAATTCTACATGTATATTTAAGTAATCTTTTAACATAATTATGTGATTTGATTAATTAAAATTTGATTGACATGCCTGACAACACAGGAAGAAAGTGCAGAGAATTTAATTCGTAAGCACTATATTTGACCCTGTAACTCTCCAAGACACCATAAAACCTGTACATAGGGGGTACTGTTTTACTCGGGAGACTTCGCTGAACTCAAATATTAGTGTTTCAAACTGGTAAATTGTATTACAACGATGATATTTTAAGTAAAAGTGAAGTTTTTGCATGTTTTACAAACAAACGGCACTTTTATGGACTATATTATTGTTGTAATATGCTTTACTGTTTTAAAACACTAATATTTGTGTTTAGTGAAGTCTCTCGAGAATAACAATACCCCCCATGTACAGGTTTTATTGTGTTTTGGAAAGTTAGAGAGTCACATATAAGGCTTGCATTTCATTTTTTTGACATTTAAATTTGCCAGATTGGTTATGTTGCCTTTGAGACCGTATGGTAGCCCAGGAATAAGAATTACCCCCATGATGGCATACCATTTGCAAAAGTAGACAACCCAAGGTATTGCAAATGGGGTATGTCCAGTCATTTCTGGTAGCCACTTAGTCACAAACACTGGCCAAATATTAGTTTTTTGCTTTTTTTCACACAAAAACAAATATGAACGCTAACTTTGGCCAGTGTTTCTGACTAAGTGGCTACTAAAAAAGACTAAACATACCCCACTTTCAATACCTTGGGTTGTCTACTTTTTCAAATGGTATGCCATTATGGGGGTAATGCTCATTCCTGGGCTACCACACCGTCTCAAAGGTAACATTATTAATCTGGCAAATTTCAATTTGAAAATGGAACGTTCTATATTTGACCCTGTAACTTTCCAAAACACCATAAAACCTGTTAATGGGGGGTACTGTTGTACTCGTAAGACATCGCTGATTACAAATATGGGCCTTTGTTTGCAGTAATACTTAACAGTATTATGACATTAACAGCTAAAATGTCAGACGGAAATACAAATTAAAATAAAAATCTTATTTTCTCAATTTTTTTGATTTTATTCATAATAAATTATGTTCCATATATGAATAGTTAATAATAAATTAAAGCCCTGTTTCTCTTGAACAAAATGATATATAATAAGTGTGGGTGCATTTAATATGAAAGAGGTGAATTACGGTTGAACAGACATATAGCGCAAATTCCAGTTTTTGTTTACGTTTTGTTTTGATCAGAACGTGTACTATTGACTCCGTCCTGAAGGGGTTAACAGCAGCATCATTCAATATTAGACTGAGATGTTTCCACCTAAGAAATGCAGACTCTCAAAACCCAAAGAATATAACCTCATTTGTGCAGGGCCCTCACTCAGCACTTTATGTTCCAGTACGTCCAATTTGTCTCGTTGCAGCTACTTATTTGTCAGGCAACCTATTGACCCTTTATACAGTGCTGCTAAATTTGTTGGTGCTTTATAAATAATAATAATAAAAATAATATAAAAAATATTACCTCAGTAACACAGAGTAGACCAAGTAAGAAAAACGCAACACACGCTCCAGCAGTTATAATACCACGCATTTTCTTCATCACCTTTGGGAACGCATCGTGTATAGTGGTTGTTATTGTCTCTGTGCGGAAAGTAAACAAAAACCACATTTAGACATGAGTGTGTACTAGTTGCTGTACTTTTCATCCAGTTGTGTTCAGGTGACAACTAAGTTGCAAGAAAACCATTGTAAAATGTTTCCAACTAAGTTACTCTGGCCTAAATTTTCCAAAATATTTTTTTCAGTACTGAACTGCATATGGTTTGTGAATAAGCAATTAGGATGTAGAATTTAAAAAATATAAATAAATACAAATACAACATTATTTAGAAATATCTCTGTTATATACTCACTATTGTCATACTTAGAGAAAACTGAACTTTATGTAGAAACAAGGTTTTAACTTATTCAATATATTTAATCATCATTATATTAGTAGAGATTATTTTCCCATATAGAAGGTGCGTCCCTTTCTTGTGAGTCAGAGAGTAAACCGGATTTTAATTATATGGTTAATCAGTCATTACCTGAGGGCTTAGTTGGGAAACTACTAAATGGAACTGTTCTGACAGGTTAAGGACAAATAGCATAACGTTCTATCCAATTTGGGTGAGTAAGCAATTTAAATACAATTGGCAGACTATGTCCCTTTGAATTTTGATTAGCATATTAGCATCTTATTTTTGTAAGTTAAGTTAAGAAATAGATGAGTAACTCAGAGTTGGAAAATATGTATTTTAAGCAACCTTGCACAAAATACCAATATTTTAAATGTTTTGTTTGCTGAGTCGTACACATGGACCCCAAAGCTCAGTAACTTTATCATTCATGATGCAGTTCAATAGGACAATCCACAGCCCATATCACAATCCCAGATGGAACCATCTCTAAACTCATGACCTGTAGATGGCATTTCACAAACCCTCAAAATATATGTTGTTTTTATTATTCTACTTATTTTTTCATCCTTTTCCCTCTTCATCTCTAGACCTTGCTTTCCATTTTCTCAGTCGGGGGTCTCCTCCCCCCCTCCCTTGTTATCCAAACCCTAGGTTTCTCTACATAAAATTGAAAATGTATGCATTTTTATTTTACTTATTTATTTATGATCTACGTTTAGTATTCTTTGATAAGCTTTTTAAATTATCACAATCTGTTAGAATTTTTTTTTTTCAAATGATGTACCTACAGAAGTTACCAGTAAAACCTATGGGACTTTTTGTAAATAAATAATTAGAAAAGTTATAATATGAAACACGTGTCCAAAAATATTAAATCTAGACCCATATATTTTTTACCCTATATAATTTCAAAACTGCAATGTTTCAATTAAAAAAATGTTCTCCAAATTAAAAAAAATTATAATGGAAAATAAGGTTGTTCTACATTGAGAAATAAGTGAGACATACTCCACTAATTTATAAAAGTATTTACTATGTTCAAATAAATCTTTGAAATAATATGTATTTCTGCACAATTTGGTCATAAAATGTGATCTGATCATCATCTAAGTCACAACAATAGACAATCACAGTCTGCTTAAACTAATAACAAACTAAGAATAAAATGTTGCCATGTTTTGAGTGAACACATCATGTAAACATTCACAGTGCAGGTGTAAAAAGTATGTGAACCCTTGGATTTAATAACATTCTTACTAATATAAGCCCCTAAATTTTTCCTTAATGTTAATTGATGTCTATTGTTAATTGTTTGCATCAAAATTTTGGGGGTAAATATATAACTAACTTAACTTTACACTCTTCAATAATCATTTACTTGGGGTATTACATAGTGGTAGTTTACTCTACATAGCTATGGAGAAGAGAGAAATTCTGTTTTTAAATCATTTTTAAAATATGGTTATATCAGCCTTAAAGGACCACTATAGTGCCAGGAAAAACACGATAGTGTTCTCCATCCGCCGGGCTGGATGGAGAAGAAGGGGTTAAAGTTACCTCTTTCTCCAGCGCCGGGCAGGAAGCTCTCCTCCTCCTCTTCGGCTGAATGCGCATGCACGGCAAGAGCCGCGCACACATTCAGCCAGTCTCATAGGAAAGCATTCACAGTGAAGAAGCACGAAAATCACAGTGAGAAGCACGCAAGCGTCTCTAGCGGCTGTCAAGAGACAGCCACTAGAAGCTGGATTAACCCTATTATAAACATAGCAGTTTCTCTGAAACTGCTATGTTTATAGAAAAAAGGGTTAACCCTAGATGGACATGGCACCCAGACCACTTCATTAAGCTGAAGTGGTCTGGGTGCCTATAGTGGTCCTTTAAGTTTGTAATTCACTTGTCACTTCTCTACAATTCAAGATTTAGACGATAACTCATTTTGTCCTAACTTGGGATATGTAAAACATCCGCTCAGGTTTCTTAGCTCCCACCGATAACAAAGGAAAAGCAGAAAAAAGTGTAACAAAACAGGTTTTTTTTTAAGATTTGAGACAACATTTGTATTTTTTTTTCTGTACAAAGCTTGGAGCTGTAATTCGTTTTGTACACAATGTATTAGTTTGTCATGCATCCTTTGACTCAGTTACAAGACAAACTGGTACATTTTGCTCAGCAAAGGACCTAAACAGTGTTTGTTTATGGCCTTATAATGTGTAACTTGGCACTCTACATGCTACTATTGTTATCACATTTCCCTGAAATGATCCATGTATCCACAGAGAAGGAAGTGACAAGATTAGAAAGGCATCGAAAGTTTAAACAATACACAGGCACAATACGGTGACGTAACCAGAGTTCTGATGGCCCATGGTTGAACAAAATTTATTTTCATTGATATTGTTAATGTGGAACGGGCAAGTACAATATATCCCTTTAACTCATCAAATGATTAACCGACATTTATCCAGATAAAATCAGCACAAACTCACCTACAGATGCAAATTGAGAGTCTAACCCAAGAGTCAGCAGCATGAAGAAGAACAAAATAGACCACAATGGAGCAACGGGCAGCTGGGACAGAGCTTCCGGATAGGCAATGAACGCTAAAGCAAATCCTAGTAAAATATATAAATCAATATAGTAAAAATCTATAATGCAATATAACAAGAGGTGCACAGCATAATGCATGAGAAATTAGCTGATTAGCAACAATATATATTTATTTCATGTATCCATTACTGCTAAATGTTTCCAACAATCGTCAATATCGTTTTTAAAACCAATAATCAACATTTATAAATAAATTTGATTAGTGTGAAAAATTAAAATGAATTAAAAAAAAAAAACCAATATCCAAATTACACTTCCAAAGGAGAAAACACTCCTCAACAAAGTAACATTTAACAAACAAGCACATACACATTGTCTAGACATCATTAATCTCCTCTAAAGCCTTAGTTTTACTTTGCAAATTGAAAATACAGGGTGTAAATTTATATTGCTTCAAAGACACGCAAGTTCAATTTTTGAGTGTTGTAGTTTAGTTAGTAATGGCTGTTGGGGCATACAAGATGTTAATATAATCTTTGGTTCTGTGTGTTTAGATAACTCGGACTGAATGTTGAGTAGGGTGGGTGATTGCATATCAGCTGTTAGAATATTGCATATAAAAATTGGAGACAGTAAATTGGTTAGATTGTAACTAAACCCTTATTATTTTTACCTAAGCCATAGGTTTTAAAATGTTTATGACTTTATAGATTTTAAAGCTATTTTGAAGTTGAGTGTCTTGTGTATACACACACACGTACAGTACAGAATATACACTGGAATGTACTACTAAAGTAGTACAGATATATACATTTCTTCAGATATATCATTTTCTCTTTAGATATTTGCTATTGTCCAGGTTATTCACTAAATTTCATAGCTAGTAAGCTTGTTTGAACAGGGACTTCTATCCCTCTTGTCTCTTAATATTTTGTATATCAACTTGTTGCTGTCAATTATTTCCATTCTATGATTGTAAAGCACTGAATAATTTGTTGACACTGTATTAATTATAATAATTAAAATAAATGACTTAATTACTTGATGGACATTTAAAAGGAAGTCAGAATTCATTTAAAAGGAAGCCAGAATTCATTTCAAAGGAAGTCAGCATAAACAAGCAGGAGAATTTAATTTTGGCCTAAAATTTACTTTGAATTCACTTTGATTTCCTGACAGTCGAACACTTAAGTGATTACCCCGTGTTGTGTATTTTGCATTAAGCTGTTTAGTGGTCACACTGAGTTTACCTGAATCCACTACATCCTGTACAGGCTTCTCAGCTTTAAAGGCCATGTGGCCCAATATGGAGAATATTGCAAATCCAGCAAAGACGCTTGTGAGGCAGTTTGTGACGCACACCATTATGGCATCTCCATAACAATTATTTTTAAATTTGTTGTATGATGAGAGAGCTACCAGGCCACCCCATGCAGTCGATAAGGAGAAAAATATCTGTGTGGCAGCATCTTTCCAGACCTGAAGAAGAAAATATAATGATTATGAAATGTTCGTGGCATTACAAATCAATGTTCTGTATAAAATATGTGTAATACAATAGACATAAGTGTCTTAATCTAGGATTGTGAGGCTAGTGTGGATGGCAGTCTGCCCAACTTCTCAAGGAGGTGTATTAATGAAACTCACTTCATGAAGACATATCAATTTAACCAAGAAAACCTGTTTCTCTTTCACGTTTTACTTGTACAGTATTTTTGGCTTGTTAGGTTACCCAAGTTTCAGTGTTCGCTGCCCACCAGAGTCAGCGCTATATCTATCCCCACTATTATATCAATTTAACCGTTAACAACTTGTCATGTTGCAACTACTCGTTTGTTAACACACCTGTTGTACAGCCCTGTGGAATTTGCGAGCGCATTATAAATATTAATAATAATAACATCACGTTATTTTTGTGGGATATAATAGTAATCACTTAGCAAAAAAAGAAGCAAGTTGAGGTTTTGTAAAGGTGGGAGAATATTGCTTAAATTAAAGAACAATTCAGAATGAGAGCTGACAGCCAAATATTATGTTATAAACTAGGACGTAAAAAATCCTTGAGCCTCTTTCTAACTGGCATAAAAAAATCTAAAATATGACAATGAAACAGTATAAACATTAATCACTGATATTAAGATACCACTTACATCTGCATTATTTAGTTTTGAAAAATCCGACTGTGCGCCAATATAATAACTAATCCCTTCGTACGCCCCTTCCAACGTAGCGCCTCGTACCAAGAGAATAAGAAGGACAATGTATGGAAATATTGCAGTGAAGTATACCACCTGTCAAAACAAGCATGATCAGTTACACCTTCCACAGTTTCAAACTTACATTACATTCTTGCATGCTTTCATTATACAATTAAATGTAGGTGGAAAATGTGCATATATTATTCAGGCAGGGTTGAGGTTTGTGTGTTTGCAAAACAGTGAATTCTGGCTCATCGACATGCAGCACCAAAAAGTTTGGCCAGAATATCCATTTGGGAAAAATGTTTCCAACTCAGCTGAACCTATAATTTTCATTATTGAAATACAGTGTTACATTGCTTCTCAGCTTTTATTTCCTGCATAAATAATTAAAGGGGCACTGTAATCACCATAACCACTACAGCTCATTCTATCTAATTGTGTTACAGATATACTAGCCCTCACAGACTAACATTGCTGTCCAAATGGGGTGTATCTCCACATGATAATGTGGAAGAGTATTTTCCCCATTTTCAGTGCTGCTTAAAATGGGTCGGACTATGTGCCGGAGAGAGCCTTGGCTTTCTCAATCTCCTACAAATTCTCTCTTACACAGTGGCTTATTGTACATAATCTAGGTTCCCATCTTAATGTTTTATGATTGGGACCTAGATTATGTACAATAAGCAATTAGCTAGGTGACCTATTCTTCAGTAAAATAAGCTCAACTATCCTTTTTCATTAAAGGACCACTATAGGCACCCAGACCACTTCAGCTTAATGAAGTGGTCTGGGTGCCAGGTCCCTCTAGGATTAACCCTTTTTTTTTTATAAACATAGCAGTTTCAGAGAAAAAAAAATATGCTTATATAAAATGTACAGTTACTTTATGTGCAAGGTTAAAAAAATATGCTTATATAAAATGTACAGTTACTTTTTAACATTATTTTGGTCTAACATTTACTTTGAATTTACTTTAAATTCCTGACAATTGACAAGTTAGTAATTAACCCTTTCTGTCCTAAGTGAAAAAAAACCTGACAAATATGAGATGCAACAAAGTTGATTTCTTTTCCAACGTTTAAATGTTCTGGATCATTGATCTTTTAAACAATTACACTCAGAGGTTCAGAACTCATTAAAATGACATATGGTGTAACGCAAATGACGAAAAATCCGGCTCCAGGGAAGGAACTTACGTGCACACTCAGACTAGGTGTCTCCAGATGAAACCCTGTTTTACATAAACCCTCTCTACAGAAAGCTTAGTATTAAAACACCAAGCAAATTCATGTTATTATTTGGTTGATATTGATACTTTATGGGACAATATAGATTCACATTGGGCAAAAAATTGTTTACTCTATGGGGCACTTTATGTTTTAATAGTTCAATGAGTTTCAATAGCGCAATGAGTTTATTGGTTTAAAAAGCCGTGTCATTGAGTGCCGAGTACAGTGGTACATTCTATATGGTTAATTCTTTTTTAGTATGCTACAGTTTATGGGGCAATAAGTTCCATATACTTTGCCCTGCTAATGTCATTACCTTTAGTGCTGTGTTTTACTGCAAAACAGAGTTGGATGGTAGATGCAGCCTGTTAATGACCTACATAATCAGCCTGCTGAGAACAATTTAGTTTTATGTTCGTTAAAACAGCGGGATCTGGTGTAATATGATTCAGAACCATGGCTCCATCAAAGGAAAGCTCTGCACAGCTAGCCTTTATGATTGCTGATGTATTATCTGATTTATGAGATAATACAACCTTATTTTATTGCCACTTTATCGGACTAGTCAAAAATTAGTTGTATTATACAATCCAGAACTCCACTCAATCCTTAACAGTGCTTGTGCAATGAATTTATGGAGGGAGAAGCTATATCACACATAAGCAATATCGTTTTGAATGAGATAGTTCAACATTGGTAAATTTGGTGTTGTTGAATTGAACAATGTTAAAGGAACACAAAGATGTATTCCTGACACCACAGTGGTAAAAATAGCTTTTTAGGTGCACAAGCCCCCTTTTACTCACCTTTGTTCCAGCGTTGCGCCGGTCTCGCTGTGACTTGACCTGCCTCGTTCCACCTTCGTAGCTGAGATCATCAAAGTTGCTGATATCAGCCAATCCAATGAATTCCCACAGGAAAGCATTGAGAGGCTATTGCATATGCGTGACAAAATCCTGTGCCAATCAGCATCTCCTCATAGACATACGCTGAATCGATGCATCCTTATGGGGAACGTTCAGAAATGCTCAACACCAGTGCTGCACACTTTGCAGCACTGACCCAGGAAGCACCTTTAGTGGCCGTCTGAGTGACTGACACTAGAGGTGTTACTAGGCAGAAATGTAAACACTGCCTTTTCTATGAAAAGACAGTGTTGACATTAAAAAGCCTGCAGGAACTGACCATACTTACCAGAAGAACTACATTGAGCTGTAATTATTTTGGTACCTTTAGTGTCCCTTTAAAGGTACTCTGTGTTGAATCTTAAACAAATGATTGACCAGTTGAGTTGTGTTTGAAACATGCTACACCAATTATAACATAGAATGCTCAAAAACTGTATTTTGTTGGGTGCAATAGTCGAATCACCTTTCTACTGAGGAAATAATGTATGAATGCTAATAACCTGATGTAGAATATATTAGCTTAATTTCTAACATTTTAATTTATAATTTGGAAGGAAAAGGGTTCAGTAGGTATCTAAGAAATCTGAAAATTAGCTCGAATAAGAGCTGATTCACAATGTCTCGTTAGTTTTAAGAATGGATCACATAGAGTACCTCACATATTATCACATGATACAAATATGTTAAGCAATATTGGTACTCTGTGTGATATAAAAAATATAATATACTTTGGGAAGAGTGGATTGTTATGCCTTTATTTATTTTAGACCTTTAGAATGATTACATGGTGTAGTTAGCCAGACAATTTAAGTTCTCTGTTTAAATATTAAGGGCTATCACAGTAAGTACTGATATAGTCAGAAGTGAAATATCAAAGGAAAGGAAAGGAGTCCTTAGTTAATTAATACATTTTATATAGATAATTATCTCATTAAAAAAGGCTTACACAGTACATTTTAGTAGAGGCATTGGATTTATTAGGGAGGGGATCTGGGATTTTTTTTTTTATTAAAAGAAAACATTTGTTAAAAAAAACAACAAAAATGAAAATTCTACTCGTAAAAAAACCCCTAAAACATAGTTAACCATTTTTTTTAACTATCAACTGAACACTTGTACTTCAAAACGAAAACAATATCTAGTGGATAACATAATTTACAAAGATAAATTATAACGTAGATCTTTAACTAGAACAATTTCAAACTGGCAAGTTGGATCCTAAATGGGAGGACAGTGTACACAACTGATCCCTGTATTAGGGCACACCTGGAAGACACCTTGCACACACCTATGTATCCCATAAAGCAATACAAAGATTATCTCTCAATTGACTATGTCATTTATATCTTTACCTTTCCTGAAGATTTAATGCCTTTAAACAGTGCAGCTCCAATAATTATCCATGCAAGAAGAAGACATAGGGCCAAGTACCAAACAACTTCTCCAGTCTCATCGAGACCACTAGAACGACGAAGTGCCACCTTTCTACAAATTTAAATAAAACAATTATTGCTGGTTCTCTCATAAAAAATATTATATATATTTCTAAATATTAGCTTTTACTGATTAAAATGCTATTTATATCACTTGAAAAAATGATTTGGCCTACATAATTTTCCTTGAATTTAAATGTACCTTTATTTTGATAGACTAATGATATATACTTACACAACTATAATTATTATAATGCATACTTATTAGAGCTATCTCAATCATGCATGTATTTTTAACAAAAGAAGAATTGGATTACATTTTAGTAATCAAATAAATAATTATGGAATTAAACACCAGATCAATAATTGTATGTAGAAAATTAAAATGATATTTTAAAACGAAAGTGACCTGTAATATATATATATAACAATTTTTATTTGTGGGAGGGATTGATGGTTATCCAATTTTTACCATGGGAACTTAAAAAAAAATATTTACCGACCCCCAAAATAATACAAGACAATGGTCTCTGTGGAAATATGTTTCATTGGTTCCTACAGTAATTGTGATATTTATATTGCTACCAAAATATTACAAAAAAAGATTTCAGTAGTGATATTTTCACCTGTTCGTAACATCATTAAGCTAGTTTATCAGAATGTTGGCAATTTAATAGAGGAAAACATTCTTCTTTATGTTTATTGAGATTGTTTGGTTTGGGGTGGCTAAACATTTTCAAGATAAATTTAATGTCATCCCCACTTCACAAGAATTTGTGGCCTTGTTTTAGATATATATTGTGATGGGTTTATTTTTCTGGTATGAAGTGTTTACTATTTTCATAAATGGAGCAATCGTAGATTATAAATTCCAACAAAGTTTTGCTATTTTTGTATGGCTAAGTGAAAAGGCCAATTTAAAATTTACATCACATAATTGTATGGAAATAAGATTAAATAATTGAACCCAGCCTATGCAAATGAATTAATTCCAGGCTGCAATGGATAAAGGTTAATGTATCAATTTCTTATGAATATATACTCACTCCCAGTATTGCTTGCTTGGGATTTCTGTGTCGAACATCACAGTTGTATTAGGTAAACAGGTGTAGTTTTCTTGCTTTACAAAAGTAAGATTGACTGTTTCCAATGAACCGGAGCTCATTTTAACGCTGCAAAATCCTGTGAAAGAAATGTTATCAGTCAATGGTAATATTGACCGTCCACAGATAATTAATCCAAAAGAGATGTCTTTGTTTGAGTTGGATAAATATACAATCTATCTTGTTTGTTAGTAGAGTATAAAGAACAGAAACATTTAAACTGACATGTAGGTAGACACCTGATAAGTTTTCAAGATAGTTGACATTTGCAAAACAGATAAATACAATTTATAATGCTTTTATTTTCCTCGTATGTTTGCATGACACAGACGAGATCTGTCAGTCTTTGACATATCCTCATTTAAGTCTGGGATTCAAACACTAGTAGAACTTAATAAGTAAGCCATCTAATCGTAGTGCCATTAAATTAAGTAATTATCTAACTGTTCCCTGATAAATTCTGTTTAACTCGTCAAATTTCAAATTCCTTTTAGTATAGAAAATTGTCTTAAATTATCAAGAGATGAAAATTGTGTTTCTCAGTAACTCACAGTGTGGATACCTGTGAATTTTCCCAGTTTCTATCTAGGAAAAAAGGACACACTACTTAGACCACAAAAAACAATGCATGTCACTAAATAAATGATGTCAACATTTAGTGTCTCACTGCAATCAAGTGCTTCACAATAAGTTGCCAGTAGGCGAGATATCTCTTATCTAGAAAAATATCTATTCTTCCTCTAAGTACTGGGTGCAGCATTATTGAAAAACAGTGTGCATGACTATGAGGGGCAGTGATTTTATGGTCTCTACTGACAGATGTGAAGATCTCTTTAAGTGATTAGAATTATGGAAAGATTAGAAGAGAGCTAAAAATGTTTTGAGAAATAGGCTTAAAAACACTGTAGATGTTTTTTTTTAAACCAATAAAATTGAGAATACAGTGAGTTTGTGATACAGTAGTTACAGGAATAAACAAGAGAAAAGATGAATGAGCGAGACAGAAATAATATAGAAAAGAAAAGTGTGATTAAAGAATAAAGGGCAGTAGGGAAAGAAGAAACATGGGGAGACAAGCAAATTGGAGACAAGATGATTTAGAAAGGAAAGAGAGACTGCACTGAACTTATTCACTTTGTATAGCTTGGAGGAAAGATGAGACAGAGGTGGGGGGGGGGAAGGGGGAGAAATATAATAGAAACATTTAAACACATAAAAGGAATCAAAAGGAATTAAAAGAAGAAAAAGTACCACAACAAAAGAACATAGTCTTAAATTAGAGGAGCAAAGGTTTAAAAATAATATCAGGAAGTATTACTTTACAAAGAGGGTAGTGGAAACATGGAATAGTCTTCCAGCTGAAGTGGTAGAGGTTAACACAGTGAGGGAGTTTAAGCATGCGTGGGATAGGCATCTTAGACTTAAAAAAGGCCAGGGACTAATGAAGGCATTTAGAAAATTGGGCAGACTAGATGGGCCAAACAGTTCTTATATGCACTCACATTCTATGTTTCTATGTTCACCAATGTTTGTTCGTTTCCTACTATTATTAGTTATAAATTGCCACCATAGTCTACAGCTCTGTATAATGGGTGGACTAACAAACACGTTTTTACAAGAAGAAGTTGGACGTACAGAAAGAGAAGTTACTAAGGGACATATTCAAAGACTTAAACTCTAAAGGGGATTTCAAATAAATTATCACAAAAATGAATAGAAAATAATCTATGTTTAGAAAACTATAAATTATATTTTATTTTAAATAAATAAGTGGATTACCTTTGGGAGTCTTGCTACAGTTGGCATCAGACCAATCAAAACACTCAGACCACGGAAGTACACTTGTAAACGAAGCAAAGAGATAGTACAGGCTGTAGGCAATGATGATATTATAATAGATTGTTACTAGTGTCGAAATAAGAACCATTGTAATTCCAACACCTGTGGATTCAAAAACAAAACAAGATGGACATGTTAATGTGTTTCCTTTCTTTGAAAGAATTGAAATTAATCTGATACCGCAATAGAAAGGCAGTTGTTATTTTAATGTGTAGCACATCGTGTCAGTTTTCAAATGTCAAACGTTAAGCTGTTTTTTTTTTAAAGATATATATATATGTATATATATATATATATATATATATATATATATATATATATATCACATCTGCAGCTCCCTAGTCTGTATCAATTTGTTTACTCTGAGTTGGTTAACATAATTTCATTTAAGCTGAATAATGCGTACCTATGAATATATTTTAATCAAAACTTCTGCTTATTTCAAACCTATTAAAATTATTTGACAAAAACTGGAGAGGCTGAACCCATAGCCTCTGTGCTCTATAACAGGGGTAGGCAACTGGTGACACTCCAGATGTTGTGGACTACCTCCCCCAAAACGCTCTTAAATCCATAATGCTGGCAAAGCATCATGGGAAGTGTAGTCTAAAACATCTGGAGTGCCGAAGGTTGCCTATGCCTGCTCTATAAGCTGTAATAATTTTGGTGCTTGGACGGTCCCTTTAGGCGTCCTAAGAAATGGGACAGATTTTGATCCCAATCATCTTGACTTGTGTCATATTTTGTCTGTTGAAAATCTATAATTAGACGTATTTGAACAAACTGCTGAATCACTTGAAAATAAAGGAGTATGTTGACAGTTTTGTTTATGTTCTAATGATTCATTTTTAAAATTAATTTAGCGCAAGGATCACTTTATCCATTTAAGCATGCCTGACACGTGTAGTTAAGTGAGTAATAATTACAGTTTCCACAGTTAATTCTTAACGATCTGGCAAGGCAAAAATATTGATCTCGTTTTTGTCTACTAACCTTCAAAGATAGGGAGAACCTTCCACATGGCGACTGGTCCTAAACTAGAAAACTGTCCAAGAGAACACTCTAAGAAAAACAGAGGAAGTCCAGCCAGCGCAAGCATAATGGTGTATGGGATGAGAAATGCACCTGGATGGAGGAGAAAATGACGTAAGTTTAAGGTTATTTATGTGCCGCAGTGCATATGAGGTTATTGCAAAATAAATGAATAAATAAATGAAAAGTAAGAAAGAGAGAAAATCAGGATAAAACAGATAAACAGAATTAAATGGAAAAGCTAAATGTTTTAGAATCATATCATTATACATCAAAAATAACCTTCACCTAGAGGTAAAATTAGATTTTCGGATTTTTATGATAAGGCATTACCCGCACATTAGTTGATTGTAGCAAAATAAGACATAAAAGAAAAGAAAGATAACTCTGGTATGAAGTTGCCAACATCTATTGGGAGTTGTAAAAAAGATACAAGATTCACTCACATTTCAAAGAGCAAGTTAATAAATTAAATATCTTAATTAATGCACAGTAAGGGTTATAAAGAGCAATTTGACCGAACATTGTTTCTGAGGTTCTGCTATGCTGTTTTATAACTAAGTGGACAGATTGATGAAAAAAAATACCTCCAAAACCCCCAAAATAGTATTTATTTTTTATTATAATTTCCAGATAGTGAGCCACCCAGGTAGCACGCAAAATGAAAGAAATGAACACTTTGTACTGCATGTGTATTACTGATCTCACGAGGATGGCTATATATGTATACAATTAAAATTAATATTGCTTAAAAAATATTTTTTATTTAAAATATATTATTTCTAGTTTGAGTTATTATTTTACCATATGTTTGCTTCAATTGTGCAGGCTGATCAGCTATTATTGGCACCTCCTCAGTATGGTGCGACTGTTTGGGGATGGTGCTTATTTCCAATACAACATGGAACACATGTTGTGTGCTATATCTGTAGATAAGCTTTTAGACATAGGCATGCTAATATGCCACTAGCTGGAAATGGGCCTACATCATATTATTATTATATGCATTTACATAGAATAACAGCAAGGAATTGAAAGACAATATAAAGATGACAGATTTAAACAAGGGAGGCTGGCAAAATAAAAAAAGACACCCATTTTGAAAACCGAACCAGTACATTGCCTTACCACACTCCATTTTCTTTCTTAATGTAATAATAAATGTTTTATACTGTACTGCAACAATTAGAATAAAATAATAGCAATAAATAAATAAATAAAACATAATAATAATAATAATAATAATGTTACATAATATGATTTAGGATTGGGATGAAATCTTCTATATTTTAGTGGCCCAGAGGGCAACTGCCCCCCCTTTCCATTGCCTTCCTACCCTGCATACAAGTGATGAAGACAGCGTTGCAGCTGAGTTTTGGTAACACAACAGATTAAGATGCACTGGGAAAACTGACTTTTGTGTCAAACCATAAATGTTCAGTTGGTGTACTGCTAATATCACAGTCAGAACAGGACACAGTTCTCACTTGACATGGAACCAATGTTGAAACAGCCCCACCTTCTTAGATTGCGCAGTAACAGATATAAATGATTAATACATTCTTTTAAATGTAATCTTTTGTTTTATTATTGCCAGTGGAAACTGCCCCTCACTCTATTAAAATTATGCAAAAGCTGATGATTATTTAAATAGAGATTATAACAAGCCCCCCCTTCTTCCCCTCCCCCCCCCTCAAAAAAGCATGGATTGTCTTTGGATCCCACACCAAGCTTGCATGCTGTCAATTTAAAAATCTTATCAAATCGATGAATGCAAACTTGTTAAGATGTTAAATGATACATTACCTCCTCCATTCTGGAAGGTGAGATAGGGAAATCTCCAAACGTTCCCTAAACCCACAGCATATCCTACCATGGATAAGAGATATTCTGATTTGCTGGACCAGTTTCCTCGTTCTGTATTCTCATCAGTATTAGTTTTCTCGCTTTTATCCTTTACAATACAAAATAAATTACCACGTTAATATGCTGACAAAAATGTACTCTGAGACCTATTTACAAATAAGTGAGTGTTAATTCAGCATAACTGTTTTTACAAAGCTAAAGCACGGATTATTGGAAATCAGAGGCCTTGATGCAACTCTTTAATTTTAAATCTAGTATGTCACCTTGGTAAATTCTTGGTGATGCTTCAAATGTCTGCATTTATAAGCTTATAAGTTTTTATGGCATTTGGAGTGTCTCTTTAAGATGTAACATGTAGTAGGATGTAGGATCACACAAATGCAAACAATATGTATATGTGCATGTATGTTTCTTACTCACTTGATAATTGTGTTTCAAACTGCCTATTTAATTGATGATATTAGCACATGTTAAATTGATGATCAACGTCCCTGCCCTGCCTGTTACTTTTTGTAGAGTGTTGGCTCAAGATTCCGCTAGAAGATTTCATTATCCTCTACCCAGGTTTCACAGAGAGCCATATGCCATTACTTGCTGCCTGCTAACTGTGCCACGCTCAGAGAGGGAAGAAGGAAGGTGTCCCTGCATCCCCACCACTTGACACCAGTGACTGTAACTCCAGTCTCCTCTACTCTTGTCCAAAACAATATGCAGCATGATGGGGGAATTTGATGACTGTGTTTGTGTGTTACTGTGTTTTCATTGAATACTATTCTACCAATCTACTTCCCTAACACTATCCTTACCTTTTGTGTCACTTTACCCCACTCCCTCTAGCATGTAAGCTCATTACACCTCTGTTTCTGTGTATCAAACTTGCCTGGTTACAACTACACGTTTGTTCGTCCACCCACTGTAAAGCGCTGCGGAATTTGTTGGTGCTGTATAAATATAATAATACTTATAATAATAATGTGAGACTGTGTGTATGTGTGTGCATGTGACTGTATTTATATGACTGTATGTATATGACTGTTTGCTACTGTGTCCATGTGACTTTATGTGGGTTTGTGTGCATGACTGTGTGTGATGGCTTTATGTGTAATTGTGTGTGATTGTGAGTGATCGTTCATAACTCTGTGCGTGTTATTGTGTATATGACTTTATTTGACAAAGTGTGTGACTGTATGTGATAGTGTGCATCTGACTTTGTGTGTATGTGACTGTGTGTCTAGGTCTACACATGATTGTGTGTGATTGCGTATCTATGCGACTGTGCATTTGTTTGTGTTTCTATGTATGTGACTGTGTGCATCCATTTTTGAATGTGACAGCATGTATGATTAAATGTCTATGTATATATGCATGTGACTGTGTATGTATGTGGGGGGCAGGGCAACAAAAGGGTAAAGGGTTAAAAGATAGAAGAGGTGAGGATGAGTTAGGAAACAAAAAATACATTCAAAAAATATAAGGGGAATTGAGATACACACGAAGCAATGTGGGTTAAGATGGGGTTAACAATTGTTCTTGCAAAGAAGTAGGATTTGTTCACTTGATTGTCTTTCTACATTGTTCCTTACTCCAATGACATTGCTTGCCCTTTGCTCCTTTCTAATGCCAATGAATTTGAAATGCCAATGAACAAAAAAAAAAAAATTACAAAAAATATCTGAATCAAAATATACGTAAATATGTGTTACATGAGTTATCTGCCCAAAGATCTTTTGACAATGAATTAAAAAAAAAATAATAATATTCCAGGAAATAATTATTGAGACACCAAGTTTTTGATCCAAAGGGAAATCTGACTGCCAGCTGAAGTTTTTTTTTTTACCAGCCTATATCAAACTACGAGCACAATTCAATAGATGTTTGGGTATCCAAGGTTGAGAGTGAAGAACAGGTTTGGGCATGTTCTGGTACATTATTTTATATCTAAGTTCTAATGATGATCAGACATTCTCTGTTCCCTCGCTGGTCATGCTGCACAGGTGTATGTTTATATTCAGTACTAAAAGGAGCAATGTGTATGAACACAGGAGTGGGGTCACCTTGCTCCCACACTGTACACTGCCATAACACAACATTATCTTTTTACTATTAGTGTAAAAAAAGTGAAACGTTAAAATTGATTTTTTTTTTTCGTTAAAAATTTCTAAGAAATATCTACATTTTGTGTGTTCTATGAGAATTACCTGCAGTCGGTATTTCTGTTCAATTTACAAATACAGTTAGATTGTTATCAAAACTATCTAACATTTACTAACCTAGACGTGTGACTTTCACAGATAGAAATAGACTAAAAGAGTTGCATTAAGGCATAATAGTGGAGATTCATTCAATAAAAATAGATGTTAATAGATATAAACAGACAGACAGATAAGCATAGACAGCATTTTCTCTTTTCACTTCTCCATCAACATTTTTGTAGCTTTTGCAACAACTTAGTGTTTTTTTTTAGAGCTTTCAGAACTGCTGTCTGGTGTATATTTTAAAGGATAAATAAAGGATTTGCCTTATTATATGTAGATACTGTACAGTAGAATATAGACTTGGACGTTTGTTTTCAAATGAACACGTTTTCATCTGAAATTCGGCTACCTGTCCATATGTCCGAAAGACGAATGAGCGAATAGAAATTACAAATGAAACAAACACTGCAAGTACTGTCTGTGCGGAGCGCTCATGGGGTGAAGATAGATTTTTTTTTGTCTTGATTTTCTTTCAGGGTATTTTTTTTTTTTTTGCTGCTTTTAATTAGTTTTTTTAATAGTTCAATGCAACCTTATGGATTTTTATTTAGCCTTTTTTGGGGCAGAAAAAAAGAAGATGCGAGAATAAAGAATACATCACATAGTAAGTGTTATTTTTTTATTTTATAGTTATTTAATTTATTGCCCCCCTCTCAATATTATTGAAGGATTCAGGTAGGGTATTTTATTTATTAGGGAGGGATGATAGTTACCTAGAGGGTGTTTCTAGGGGCTTGAAAACCTCTGGTCAGGGAGAGAGGGTAATTAACACAAGGAGTGCAAGGGGGTGGGAGAAAAGGTCCACAATTAAGTTACCCCAACTGTTGCCAATGAGTGGAGGCTGGGAAGGACAATAGGTCCACCCCCACTTTAGGATTTAGGGTCCACACCAGCTGCCAATGCGTAGGGGGTGAGGGGACAATATTATGATTATGATTTAGGGCACCCACGGCTCCCACCCACTGTGGGTGACAATGTGACCCTATGAGACACTTGGTTCCCCTGTTTTGTTTAATAGCCCCCATTTGAGGAGCAAAGGTGGGACAGTTAATTATTTAGATAGGTGCCCTACCATGGGGACTTGGGGGACCCTTGCCAGGTCCCCCTTTATTGGATTAGCGACTCTGCCCAGTCACTAGTCTTTTTTATATCAGTGAGCAGCCACTGACTGCTCACTGTTTAGTAGACATGTTTAGTAGACATACCGCTACTCGTGACACAGCGGGTAAGGGCAGGTGCGAGGATTTAACCTCCCTCATTTACTAATACTAAGTCATTTAAACTTAGTATTAGTATAGTCGTCTGAAAGACCAAAATAACGAAAAGCCATCCTTTTAGTCTCTCAGCTTCTTACTAGATAGCTCCAGGGGTGATTTACCGTGAGGCTGACAAGGCATTTGCCTTGGGCGTCACTTTCTGGGGGGCGGCAAAAAAGCCACCCCCCAATCGCCCTGGCAAATGCCTTGCCAACCTCTTGTCTTTGGGGGCCCAGGAGCTGGCCGGCTGGCCACCTCTGGGCCCCCTAAGGCTGACAGCGGCGGCACTTTCTGAGCGGACGGCGAGGGATCACTGATCATGGGAGTTGTAGTCCAAAACATCTGGAATGCCGAAGGTTGCCTATGCCTGTGTTAGTATGTGTTTGTCTGTTAGTGAGTGTGTTAGTGTGTGTGCCTCTAACAAAATACATGACTATGCACTTAAATTAGAAAAAATCTGCTACTTCACATACAATATGTATCCCAACTTTAGAAAACACCTGCGTCAGACAGAAGATCTGAAAAATAATTTTTCACTCAATTTTCCTAGACTTCTGTGCTGCGTATGCAGATTTATTATCTCTTTTTTATGTACAATTTATTGCAGAAAGCACAAAACAAAATTACAGATGAACTTGGCAAAACACAGAAGGATAGACAAACAGACAAACAGACACACTCCTTCATGGTTGCAACAAGTGCCATTAAATAGACTTGTGCATAAATCCCATTGATCTATGCTGAATGAACCAATTTGTTCATGAATTAGAAAACAAATCAATTTGTTCACCCAGCAATTATCTTGCATTTGATTTGTTTAGCATCGCTGAATGGCCATTGTGCACAAGTCTACCATTAGATCACTCTATTTCCTAATGATGATATGCTGAGAGAGGACTGTGCGGATAGATATCCTGCAATCCTGTCTCCCTAGCTCCCTTCCCAGCATATCATCGTAGGGATAGGAGCTAAACTAAGGAAACAAGCTGAAAATATTAGCTGCTGCTGCTGGCTGTGCAACTCCCATTACTCTCAGGCAGGCTGAAATATGTGTGTTGTCTTAGTATAAAAAGAACCTAATACTAATCTTATCTCTAATTCTCACCTTAAATTTAAAAGTTCATGCAATAAAAGGAAACCAATATTGACCCGTATGCTAAAATAAAATGTGTATGTCTGTTTAAAATTTCTCAAGTAAAACATTTAAAGTGCCTTGTGTAAAACAATTGAAAGACACCAGTTCCCAACCTCTTCAAACATCGATCCTTACCCTGCCAAAGTATTTAAATAAACTGTAGAGCACTTACCAGATCAGAGCTTGGCTTTTTCTTGCAACGTTCGAGACAATTTGGTATTGAGTTCCCCATTCTGCTGTTGAAAAATAAGTAGTTGTGTGCTTGCCAGGTATCTGTGTGCTTTTCTTCAGTGTCCCGGAGTCTCCCAAATGTATTAGACACACTCTGGCCCTCCCTTCTTTCTTAACTCCACCAGTCAGTGAAACCAACTGGGAAATGTTCTCACACAAGGCTCTTTTATAAATACAAATCACCACCCCCTCGATTATATCAGTCACATTAATGATTTGTTTCACAAATGGGATGGACTGTTTAATGCTTGAACCTGTTGATCTTCAATGAGATAAGATTTGGCAGAGATTTTCTTGTGGTTGACTGAGATATACCTTAAGACTTAAATCTTTATTCAAGGAAAATTATATTGTGCCAAAAAACCTGCATAGAGCCAACGTAACTTCTATTTTTGAGTAACCGGTTTCACACTAGATTTTGTAATAGTCAGGGTTATTTTCACTATACAATGCTGATTGTTTTCGTGTTTTTTATTTTTTTACAGTGATTTTGGAGAACGTTAATAATGTAAGGACACCCGTTCCTTTCAGCTGCAATGGGTGATGGGAAATGATAAGTGTCTTTGTGAGGCGAAATGACCATTTTACTCAATAAAGTCTGCAGTTTGGCTAGATACTATGTGTACCCCATCATCTATTTTTTATTTTGATATACTACGAGAGATTTTTAGTCACCCTAGTTCCTGTGGCCACATAGTGTTGATCCTTTTTCGTTTGGTGAGTGTGTTCCTGCTTTGAATTGTGAGAAATGACAAGATATGATAAATTGGAATTGATTTAAACTTTTTTTTATTTTTTTGCCATTATCCAATGTGTAGAGATAAAATTATTCCTAGTTTAATTGTGCTTGAATTTACAGTATTTTTCTCAATGATAAATATATGAAGTTTTCATTAAGATTCTATCTTTATTGAAAACATAGAAGTGATGGTGATATGGTGATACTTGAATCGTTCCATTACAGGGTTTGAATAGCATTATTTAAGGTCAGTCAAATGTGGATTTTCTTGTAGACTAAATGTTTATCTACAGAAGATGTGAATTACATAGAAATTACTTAAGTACAGAAAAACAAGTTCATTGGGATATTCTGCAAAGTTCAATGACAGTTTCATGAGGCACCAGCTATAATAAATTCCAGTTTGTATCTGGTAATAACTAATCATGTAGAGCTTTCTCCTGCATGCCAGTGAAGGAGCACCTTTGGAACAATAAAACTCATGTGATGTGCTATTACCTCCTGGAAACCGAGGAGAAAAAATAGTCTTCCAATATGCCATCCATTTTGATGAAAAGGAAGAGGAAGATTCCAGCATCCCACAGCCTATCACATGACATATCACTGGAAAGCTCAGGATGACCTCTTTACAATACAGCAGGGATTGATAGAGTAACTCAAAAGAATAAAAGGAGATGCATGTGAATGAAATGTCCAGTACAGAGGACACAGGTGAATGGGCTGGGTCTCAGGAGGTTAAGACAGTAAAAATTTATTCACCAAAAAGGATTATTCACCAAAATTAGAGTTCATGGTGAAATTGAAGTTCATTTCAAATTTACGGTTAAATTTCCCAAAATTGAAAAGTTCTACTTTTACCTTAAACTTGAAATTCACTCGAATTCACTTTGATTTTCTTCTTTAGTAAATAACCCTGTTAGAGATTTATCCACTAAACAAACAATAGTAGTGAGCTGAAAACTGAAGTGCAAAATTCAGACTAAAATCTCTAAGCTGCCTTATAAATTTCTTGGAATTTTTTTCCCAAAGTCAGCCGTGTTAGCATAAATTGTGCAATTCTGGAAATGCCTTGCACAATTGCATGCTCCAAATCCTTGCATAGCACAGGTGCTTGGTCTAATTGTATTTACTGAGTATGAACATTCCCTTCATACATTAAATGGATAATAAAGCACACGACATAGATATCTGCAATGGTCAAATTCTTTATAAGTGAATGTTGTTAAAAGTTCTCAGCTCAGTGCCGTCACAGCTCATGTTAATTTACTTACGTAACACACTTTTGAATCTCTTAAAAATAATAAACACCCATACAAGGAACTTCTATAATTAATGTGCCAAAATAAACATCACAGGTGCCAAAACGTTATTTATCTATATATATTCCCAGGACAGGCAAATGCCACTTCATAAATACTGTATACGCACACTATACGGACAAAAGTATTGGGCACCTGGACATTACACCAACAGGGAATGTTATGACGTTGCAATCTAAATACATTAAAATGTAATTGTTTGCAGCTCTAACAGCTTCTACCCTTCTGAGAAGGCTTTCCACAAGATTTGGGAATGTTTCTGTGGGAATATCTGCCCGTTCATCCAGTAGAACATTTGTGGGGTCAGGCACTGATGTTGGACGGGAAGGCCTGGCTCTCAATCTCCATTAAAATTCACCCCAAGGGTGCTAGATGGGGTTGAGGTCAGGGCTCTAGGCGGGCCAGTCAAGTTCTTCTACGCCAAACTCATCCAAACATGTCTATATATATATATATATATATATATATGATCATATATTGCAAAGTCCTGCCACAACGCCAATGTCCTCCATTTTTGTAAGGTCCTACTCTAGCAACCTAATGCCTGCTCTTATAAGATTAACCCACTTAGGAAAATGTCTTCCTGGGACTCTCCGCAGTGCAACGTAATCTAGTTTTTCAAATATGAAGGAGAAAGGATAATGCATTTAATTACTTTCTGGCTAACCATTCACTTCAGTGTATGTTTTAACTAGTTTATTTGAGTTTCTTCACCATACAATACATTATCTCTACCCCACAATCATTGATAAGATTGGCATAATAACACAGACTACACACAACTGTTTTTTTTAAAGGGTGTATTATTCTCCTTTTAAAAACAAAGGTTTCTTTTTTCAGGTATTTAACTGATTGGATTAAGACTAACTCTTGCTGTGTTGCATTGTTAAAGACAATATTGTAGGTAGCATAACAACTTTGAACACTGCTACCTTAATTTCAAAAGGAAATGCTTTTATCAAGAGACAATTTGGTTCTCTTGGTAGGATGTCACACCTTGAGTGACAAAGGCTCCAGAAACCAATATCACATCATTTACTAGACATGGGTCATTGAGTACAGGAATTGTAGGAGAGGAAACAGTAGCAATTTATCATACAGAGATTCAAGTCAAATTATAGTTTAACTATTCGGATGTCATTAAGTTCAGTATGGAGCAGAGAGCCAAAAAGCTTTATACACACCAATAAATGTATGGAATGTATTTGGCAAATAACCCAGGCAAATATCGACCATACCAGATTTACAGAGAAAGCATTAATTGTTGCATGAAGGGACACACCAGACAGAGTATCAGAAAGTTCCACAGCAAAAACAAATTTACAGTAATGTGTGGTGTCCATGAATGAATCAAATGGGGTCCACAGCAAATAATTGCAGTGTGTATGAGTGTATTACAGAGCGCCCCACCAAAAAAATTAAATGAAATCAAAGTAATGTGCATAGTAATGTATCACTGAGCTCCACAGCTATAAAACACAAAGTAATGTGAATTTTATATGTCAGTATCACAGAGTTCCACTAAAATGTACCTCACAATTACTGAGGACTATTCTCTTGTGTCTCCATACGTGGGATACCAGACTGCAAAAGTAGGACAAGGGCAAGGAGCGAGGATGAGGATGCTGATGGGATTGCGTGTGAGTAGAGCAGGTTGTTTGTGATGTAGTGTGTGAGTTTAACCTCTTAAGGACCAAGTTTAATTTGTTTATTTTTCACTTAAGGACCAAATCATTTTGCTTATTTGCTGCACCAACACATATACCATTTTTTTATGGATAAAAATTGCTTTAATTTGATGTGACATATACATGTGTGAACTCTCATTTATTATGAAAAATATTCAAAAATGCAACAAAAAAAAACAAAAAAATATTTTCTTTTCACAGGTTTGGCAAAAATAATGTGTACATAATTAGTGCAGCTTGAGAAAAGTTATTCAAAATAAATTCATTCATTTGTCCTGATTTACAGAGTACATAATATGTCTAGGATTTCAGTTTGCTTTTGATAGTTACCGGGTCACAAAATAAAAGTTTAGTAAAGTTACATTTCAATGTGGAGCTGCTTTAGAATTTGGTATGTTTGTCTTGCAATTGTAAGAGCCATCACAGAAAACAAAATTGCCACACAAAAATATATATTTGAATAAAGTAGTCATAATTAATATATTTTTTTAAATAAGTATTTCGTAAATCTAACGTGTGTAACAAAATCCCATAAATCTACTGTACAAAATCCCATATTGTATTCAGTACAATGATATCCCCAATATATGCCTTTGTCACTTTCCTGTTCAGCAACAGTACCATATAAGGCACTTTACCATTTCAGTTTTTACAGTTTGCATTGTTATAGATAGAGTGTAAATTGGCCTATGTCTCATTTTGGGGCATTATAGCTGTTTGATTGTTAAAATGACCCCACAAAGGGGTTGTACACATTCCAAGGTATCTAATATGGTGTATATTGTGCCTAAGTGTGCTGCTATTTTTCACTAGTTTATGTCAAAGTTGTGATAAAAAAATTTTGGGAATTTTTTACATACTTATTACAATTTGACTGGTCATTTTTGAAAGCAGTTTTGTGCCACTGTAATCCCCCCGCCCCTCCAAATTATGCTCTTCTAAACAAATCAATATCCCCAATGTATGCTTTTGGCACTAATTTGCAGTGCCCTTAAGATACCTGACTATTTCTGTTTTTGCAAAAATAATTTTCATTAATTAATTTGATAGGCCTATTCCACATTTTTAGGCATTGTATCACCTCATAAATGCATACCATTTGCTAAAGTAGACACCACAGGGTATATCATATGGCTTTTTTTGTGCTTTAATATACAGCCATTTAAGCCCCAATTTCAAAGTTTATAGCATTATTTTATTTTTGCCCCAAGGAGAGGGTACAGACCAGAAACTCAACACATTAAGGCCCCAGGGTTCAGCGTGATATCCCTCCCCCCGCCCAAATTTACTATGAGGGGCAGTGGATAAACTGTATTTTTTATAATAATAGCAAATGTTAAATATATATATATGGATATATATATATATATATCTATAGTATAT